GTTATAATATAATTTATATACAATATATAATATAATATACAAAAATATTGGTTATAATATAATTTATATTAAGATTCTTATCACAATCGCTTTTTTAAATAAAAATAATATTTAATTTATTCCAAATAATTAAATTCAGTTAATGATTGATTTTTTTATAAATTTTTTATAAAACTATTCCTATTAAATATTTGGAAAAATTTTAAATTAAATTTTAAGAAAACGATCGTTAAATATAAATCCAGTTAAACAAAATATTTTTTTGTTGAGATTGTAAAAATATTTAAAAATATTGTTGAAAAGATATAGCTATAAGAATGCAACTTTAGATAATTATTCGTTTCTTTAAGATTTTTATTTCACATGTAAATTTCATATGAATGAAATTTGATCCAAAATTGTTTCAGGCAACGTAAATTTTGATGAAGTGATTTTGTAAAAATATTATTAAAAATAAATTTTTTAAAAAAAATAAATAAATTTTTATTTTTTATATATTTTTATCTTTTCGAGTGATACAGGATTTTATAAATAAATTTTTTGAAATAGTTAAATAAAAAAATATAATATAATAGTATTTTAAATATACTGTTAATATATGTTAATATATTTATGATAATATAATATAATACATGTTAATATATTTATGATCTTTGAAGGATTGATTCGAGAAGTCAAAACAAACATAAAAGTTGATATAAGATATAAGATAAAAATATCAGGTTTATTTAGATTGGTTTTTATTTATTGAGATTTATTTATTATTATATGTTATTATATATATATATATATATATTTATTAATATATAGAATGTTATTATATTCGTGAACATTTTTGAAAGATTGATGAGTAGAGTCTAGAACAAACGCAAAAGTTAATATACAAAAATATCGTTTAAATCTTATTTATTAAGTTATAAACAATTTAAATTTGTATTAGATGAAATGAGACGAGAACAAAAGTCCGATATGGAGATCCATGGTGTAATGGAGATAGAAAGATTTTCCACAGCTGTCTGATGAATATATATTTTAATACAAATATTATTTAATACAGATATTGTTTTGTATCAATGAAATATATCATTGATTAAGATATAAATAAAAAATATTTTAAATAAATATTTTTAGTTTTATTATATTATTATTATTTTAATATTATAATTATTATTATAATAGTATAATAAATTCATTATATATATTATTATTATAATAGTATAATATATTTAAAAATATATTATTGAATATAATGTGACATACAAGAAACTGAATATACTATTTTCAGAAATATTATATAATATTTTAAGGAATAAAAAAGAAAAAATTATCATAATCATATAAATAATTATAATTGATATTTGTTAAGTTTCTTAAACGAAGAAAATAAATATTTTATTTTATTTTATTTACTTCGAATATGAGAATAAATAGTAAGTAAGTAATATTTAATCGTAATTTAGATATTGAATAAAATTATATTTACGAATAATATTTTCTTGAAAAAGAATTTATTTTGAAGATATTTCTATTTTCTATTTTTTATCTTAAATTGTTTTGAATTTTCCTCAGTTCTTCAGTGAATATTGTTGTAGGGGAATTATAATTGTATTTGAATTATTCCTCAATTGAAATCAAAAGATATTGTCGGCATTCTCACTAACGGATTGGTAATACAACCGATGGTTGTGCATTCAGTACCGTTTCATTGCTGGTTCTGCTTACTAAAGGGGACTGGGAATAGTCCGTTTCTGTTAGGCTCCATTACCTGATTCCCCTACCAATATTCTTCAATCATAACAAATTAACGATAATTCTCCAACACGGATCTTCACAAAGTGATTTGCATTGGTGCATATGTATAAAAGTAATTGTGATATTCACACGATATAAACATATTAATAATAATTTTTCTTCTAATAATTTTTTTATAAAATTATGAATTATTTTTATGAAAATAATTCTCATCATTTATATGAAGACTATAACGGAAAAACGTGATAAATTTTTTAATTTTCTATTTTTTACAGAAAAGCTGTATTTTATAGAAAAGTTTCAAATTTAAATTTGTCGAGTTATTTCTCTATATTCCTATAAATTAAAATGATTATACCTTTAAACTTGTTAAATTTCTCACGTTTTTTTATGTTGATATATTAAAAATTATGTGATAAGTTACAATATGTTAATTATGTGATAACTTACAATATGTTAATTCTTTATTATACAAACTTCCTTTTAAAAATAGGATTTTTTTTTATTTTTTTTTTGATAATATTACATATCTATCAATTATAATATAATTTTTTTAATCTTTAAAATATATTAAGTTAAGTAAATTATTACATAATTGAAGATATCTTAGAAAACAAATAAAATTTTAAAAATTCTTTTAAATTGTTTTTTCATTTGTATCTAATTTAATTTATCAGAATTTTTTTTTGAATTGAAATTATAAAAAAATTTTTCTTTATCAACAAAAATTTCAAAAGATATGATATCAGAAAAATCACAAATGATGAAACTCGTTTAATTTTCTAACTGAATAGTTCTCCAACCTGGCAAGCCACGTTTTTCTTTAAGGGGAGAAAAACATGACTTTAGACCGGAGCGAGGCTATCGTTAGATTCATCCCATGGGGCCTTGAGAAAGCAGAACCGCATTCCATAGTCGTTCAACTCGCATTCTATCCTCGGATAGACGGAACGATCATTCTTCCAACTTCTCTCATCAAATTGTCAATTAAAAATAAATTAAAAGGATCAGTTGTTTAAATTATTGGATTCCTTTCTTCTGAATTTTTTAGATATTGCATTTGATCAAATTATATAATAATTTAATCAAAATTATTTATTTGTATTATCGTTGAATTTAAATTAAAAATTTTTAATTCAAAAATTAACATTTGATTACATTATTATATGAAATGTAATACTATATTGATATTAATCAGGTAAATATATACTTAATAACAATAATATTTTAATAATTATATCTTGGTAATTAAATAAATATTCTTTTTGGTAAAAAAAAAAGTTCAAATAAAATTTATTTCAAAAAATAATTTAAAAATCATTGTTTCAAATAATGTTAATTAATATGTGATAGATAATGTATTTCAATTGATGATTTATTTTTTGGGGAATTTGAATATAAAATAATATGAATATAATAAATTGACAAATAGATCAATCACAACAATTAAAAATTGTTATTATATTATTATTAATATTTTTAATATTAATTGAATATTGATTTTATTAATATTATAAATGTTTTTATATTTAAAAATATTTAAAAATATATTTAAAAATATATTTTTTTCTTTTTAAATAAATAATAAATTACAAATTTCGAATATTCTTATTTCAAAAAATTAACTAATTATTAGTTAATTATTAGTAAATTAATCCTAAAATCAATTATTATAATTATTTATTTATACAATTATGCAATGTGATTTCTACTCGTATTGTCACAATTGTAATAAATTTTAATATAATACAATGCTCATTTATCTAAATTATCTAAACTTCTTTATTAGATTTTAATATCTAATAACTTTTAAAAAACATTTTTTTGTTTGTTATATAATTCGTATTATAATTCTTGAACAAAAAACAAAATATCTCTATATCCTTTTCCATCTCAGTATATCATCAATTTTTATATATCGTGTATTTATATATCGTTGCATATCAATGGACAAATATTTTAACATGCATGTCAAATTTTGATATGTATATGAACTGATTGGTTATTTATATTTTACATTGGAAATAATATTATAATATATAGAGATAAATCTATTTATCTTTAAATAATATTAAACATTAGATTTTTATTGCGTCATTATATCATAATCATATCATAATTGTGTATTATATTGTGTATCATCATTGTGTGCATCTTGATATGATATTTTGATATGCAATGATGTAATGATACGCTTTCACATTAATACGCTTCGGTGATATAATATGAAAATAAATATCCAGTTATGTTCAATTTCATGTATGAAAAAATCATATCGTTTCTTTTGATACAAATAAATCTTATACTGTATCATTATATAAAGAATAATAATAAATTTGAAATTTGAATAATAATAAATTTGTAATAATATAATACACACAAAAGAAAAAAGAAAATAAAGAAATAAATTTAATAATGATACGAAAACATGCAAATAATTTAAATACAATTTAAATTGGCGCGATAAATACAACTTTACATTATAATTAAAAATTAATGTATTTTAAGCAAAACTTTTTCAATTAAATTCATTTCGATATTACATACATTTTCAATACTTTCAATATTACATCTTAAATGGATATTTTGATTATTTATCTTATCTTTATATATTATATATTTATTTTATTAAAATTATTTTTTATAATTATTTGCAAAATAATTTACTTTTGAAATAATACAAATATTTCATAAAGTATTTCGAAATAAACTAGTATATTTGTAATTAAATGATTTATTTCATGAAATAAATTATTTGTTATTGCTATAGTTATTATTTAATTTTGAATGAAAATAATTAATTTCTTTAATATTTATATTATTAATTCGTTATTGACACACTTGGTACAATTTTTACTATTGTATATTATTATTAATATAGTAATTTATTATTTAATATTATATTGAATACTATTTTTTAATTAAAAATTTGTTTCGATTAAAAAAATAAAATGTTATTTTCTCAAATAATTTTTCAAATCATTACTTATTTGACCAAATAAAGAATATAATATGATTTTAGATATTAGTGAACATTATTTGAAATATGTTTCGTTCAAATCTGTTTCCATTGATAAAACATTTTATTAATTTAAAAATATATAAAAATTATAGTTAATTATTTTTTAAAGAACACTTTATATGATAATGAAAATCATTTGAAAAAAAATTAAACAAAATTAAGAAAAAAAGTTAAAGAAAATTTGCCCTACTTATAGAATAGAATAAAGACTATTTGATATTTGCAGTGGGTCTAGAAGAGATCTCAGCTCGATTAAATTTAATGGTTAAGGCGGAACTAGCTGAACTGGTTTCCGGCGCACCCATGAATCCTGGTGATCCCGAAACAAGGTGCCAATATCTCGAGAAACTTCTAGGTAAGTCGATAATCTTTCAAACTAGTATATTTGGCTCTAGTTTCAAATATTATGTTAAATGTTTTCATGAAATAAATATTTTTTTCTTATTGAAAAATAAATATAAAAATAAAAATAAAAAAAAACAAAAATTAATTTTTTTTTATATTGAATATAATATCTTATATGAATAATATGTTATATATTAATTGTCTCGAAATAAATTAATTTAAAACAACGTTCGATAATCTATAGAAAATATATAAGTATATAAATTATATAAAATGAAAATATATAAGCATGTTTAATTTTGTTGCAAAAAAATTAATAAAGTTGTTTAAGATTAATTTTATTATAATTTTTATTGACTTAATCGCCAAAAATAATAAATTTCACAATTTGAAGAAAAAAATAAAATTTTTAGTAAAGGAAAATGAGAAATATTATTATAATAAAAATTTTTATAATTAAAAAATATATTTCATCTTTAATGAAATTTTCAATGTATTTAAATCGAATGGAAACCAAATTATATTTAAAATATCTTGAAGAAAGATATTAAAAATATTTAATTCAATATATCAAATTAATACATTTTAACATCACAGTACACAATTTATTACTATTATTTATCTAAATTATTTTAGATAGTTATTAAATAATAACAATAATGATGATTTTTATAAATGATAAAATAATATAAATAATGATTATTAAAAATAAACATTTATATGAATAAATTGATAAATATTATAAACAATAATATGCATAAATTACATTTAAATTAAATTTATTTATAAAAGCAAATTCTACATAAAAATAAAATAACATAAAATCTATGTAAAAATAATTATTTATTTTATCTTTTTGAAAAATCATAATTTAATTATTGCTGTAAAAAATTTGTATATTATAATTCATAATTGTTATATTCTATATTATATAATAATAAAATAAATTTGATTGCAATATTATATATACACTTATATACATATATACTATATTATTATAAATAGCAATAAAATTTGAAAGAATTACTAATTCCTTTTCAAATAAAAAGAATTTACATTATTTGTTTTAATATTTAAAATTTAACAAGATATAAGAATTTAAAAATTTTTTCTAAAATTCTTTTAGAATTTAAAAAACTATAAGTAAAGAAGGAAAAATAATATGAAGAAATTTATGAAAATAATTTCACAATAAATCTATTTTAAATATATGAAATAAGTATTAAATTTTGATTATTATATTGAAACAATTACAAATTGATTTTTAGAAATAGAATGCAAAAACGATACAAAATAAACAATGTGATAGATAAATAAAAACGGTAAATATATAAATCGAAAAATATAAATATTACATATTTTTGTTTGCAGATCGAAGAAGACAGACTCCTGTGATGGTCGATTGGCCGGAAGTCAGCGGAAATGTTTATATAGAAGATGGACAGCCTTCGAAAAGCAAGAAACTGCAAATCGCTAGGATTCATCGAAATATCGAAACGATTTTAAATCAGAAAAAAAATTTCAGCGATTCATAGCAACATAAGTGAAAAGAGTGTGAAAAAAAGAAATTCTTTTTTTACAGAATGAAAATTTAAATCGACAATCATTTATTTATATATTTATATTTTGCGATTCGTTATTAAAACGGTACGATGGTTGGAAGATAAAAACGCCGAAAGGTACAAAAATCATATTCGATGATTGTAAACAAATAATTTGTATTATTTTTTAATAATTTAATAATTATATTATATCTTTTATATAATATTTTTTCTTCGTTATTTAAGTAGATTTACGATTAAAAAAGGAGAAAGAAATCCTTGCTCGAAGTCTCGAAGCTCGAACGTGATCGAGCTACGATCGACTTGGCTCATTCGATTATTTATTTCTTCTTATAAGCTTTAAAAACTGCCATCTTTGTAATATAATTGCGATGTATGTATCGAAAGACGAAATAAAATGGCATGAACAGTGGATCTGGCTTTTCACATATGTTACTTATATACATCTCGTATGCATACAATGAAAACTACAAATACAGTTGTTTAAGTTAAGCTAAATTGCTTTTAAAATTATAGATACGATTTATATTAAAACAATTAAAGTTATAATCGCAATCTGTACGAATCGCATTTTGAATCTCTCAGAAAAATATTTCCTAGAAAAAGAATGTTTTTCTTTTCTCACATACGTGTACTTACACTTGATAGATTATTATTTTTTCTCTATTTTTCTTATTATTTAAATCAACACTCAAACAATTTATCAAATTTTGGATTAATAATGATGAAAATTCTTTTTTTATTTTGTTCTTTTTTTCTTTATTTTTCATTTATAATTATGAAATATGTCTTGCTTTATATTAAAAAATATATATGCAATATATGCATCATAAGAGAATTTATAAAATGAAGAATTTTTTATTTATAAATTAATTTATTATAATTAATTATTTATAAAAAAGTAGAGAATAAGTAGAAAACAAAAAGTAATAATTTATATGACAGTTTATGGAATCAAATTTAGTCATCAATGTCGATAAAATAGAAAACTTCATTTTTCCAAATTAGTAAAATACATTTTAGAACAAACAAAAAAATTGAATTAAATTTTATGTTATGTGAAACAATTAGCAATAATTAAATGATGTATATGTACATATTGCATTGTAATGTAGATATACATATATACATACATATATACATTATAAAAGTTTAATTTAATTAATTAATTTTTTCTTATAACATATTAAAAAATGTTGACATTTAAATAAAAAGATATATAATTGTTGCAATTATTTATTTTATATGTTTTATTGAAAGTAAAAATTTTGAAAACAGCTTTATTATGCTATATCACGCTGTATGACAATATGTATTTAACACCATTTGTAAGATAATTCATATAGAAATATAACGGTGATATTATTTTTAGCTACTTTAATGATAGAAGTTTTAATTGAAAACTATTCTAATTAATGATATATGTTTCTAAAATTTAAGATCTCTTTTTCAATGATCTTTTAATAAGTTTTTTCAATTTAATTGAAAATATATTGATACCAACAACAATTATGAAAATTGATGATTTGTTTACTTTCGAAAAACGGTTTTAACTGATTTTCATTGCAATCTTAATCGGATTTTAATGAATCGTTAATTATTTTATTAATAAATAATATATAAAAAAAACTTTTTTAATGAATATATATGTCAATACTATTTTAGGAATTTTTATATAATAAATTTTTACACATTGCACTATCTATTCGAATTGGTGAAATATCGAATAGGAACGTATCTCTTTAAATATCATTAATATCATTCAAGATTAAATCGATATATCTTGAAATTATTTTCTCGTCGATAAATATTGGCAGCTTTCGATTCAGTACTTTCGATGCCTGCTCCCTTCGATCGAGAATTCCAATTTTTCAAATTTCGATTTAAATTCTGACGAATAATTTTATTCGAAATATAGTTTCGAAATTTGATTTAGTTCGTGTTCAAATAAAATCGATTTTTTTTTTATTGAAATTCTTAATTCTCGATTATCAATTGGTCCTTTTTTATCTTTCATCGTACGCCAGATTGCTTTAATGATTAGAGATTCAGAGAACGTAAAATACCCAATAGATGGCGTTGAATAGCATAAAACTGACTGGAAATATAATTCTTGAATATTTGTCGATAATATTCACATCTTTTATCTTAGGCATTGATACACGCAATACAGATGCTCCTCTTCGTATTGCATGTAATACCTGTAATCATAATATTTTTTTTTTTTGTAAAAATGTATCTTTATTTAACATATTTTTATTTAATTTTTATTTATATTTTTGTTTAATAAGGTAACATAATCAAATTGATCGAAACAACAAAATAGTTTTTTATTTTAAATTAGATATTTAATAAAAATAAATTAATTAATAAATATTTAATTAAAATAAAAATAATAATAATAATAAAAATAAATATTAAAATTCATATTTGTTACAAATATTACAGTAAACAATTTCTTGAAATATCTTAAGCGATATAAAATATATTCATATTCTTGAATACACAAATTATTTAAACGAAATTGATAAATGATAAAAATTTAATTCTACAAATCAAAATAAAATAAAAATATGAATAAAAAATAAAAATATTATGTTTGAGGCTTCATTTTTTAATTACTGATGATAAAATCGATCAAAAATTTTTAATATCTACTAAACTTTTTTATATAAGAGTGCAAAACAAATTAAGTAACTAGGAACAGAATGATTTTTGACATATGATGAACTTAATTAATATAAATTATAGAAAAAATATGGAAAATCATTAAAGTCTCCATTGTTTATATTATCTTACATTTGATGATGTAAAAATGTTTGCAGAGCTTCAGGGATATTTTCGTTGATTTTTAATTGTGAATAAAAAAAAAATCTTAAATATAATTTTTTTATTCTTAATTTTTTTTATTTTAATAAAAATACTTTTTAACATACATTTAAATCAAATGAATATTCTTTATTTATTTTAATATTAAGCAAAATATAAGTGAAATCTGCTTTTTTTTGTTTTTTCATTAAAAAAAAAGAATAAATATTTTTTTTCTTGATTATATTTATATTACTTTAAACGCTCCCTTAAATTTTCTATTAATTTCTATTAACTTCAAAAGTTCATATTAATTAAAGTTTAAATTAAATATTACACAATAATTTCAATGTAGATTACATATCTTAAGTTTTTTTCTAATACTTTTTCTAAAATATATTATGTAAATATTGTGTAATAATCGCATAATCTGTATCACTATTAGAATAATAATTAATTAAATATATATGCATAGTTGTTGTGACTTTAAAATTTATTTAAGTAAAAAAAAAATTATTTACAAAGAAAATTCTATTTTATTTTTAAAATTAAATTAAATTTTTTTATGATTTTAATGGACATATACTTCTTATTATCTTTTTGTGGATACATATCTTTTATTATTTTGCCAATAAATATATTTTTACAAAAAATTTATCTATGACATAATTATTTATTATATTATTATATATTATATATGAATTATTTATTACAATTATCTAGCTTAAAAATCATATCATATTGAATAACTTTGATATATTAAATAATATAAAAAAATATTTCTTATTGCAATACAATTTTATAAAAAAACAATAAAATAATTTATAAATTTATTTTTTTGTTATTTTATTAAATTTACTTATTTTATAAAATTAAATAATAAATAAAATTTTTATGCTATATTTTAAAAACGTCTTACATTTATAACGAATATTTTAATAAGAAATTATTAAAAATGAAATATGGAAATACTAAAACCAAATGATATTTAACGTTTATGAAACAAAAAAAAAAATATTGGAAAGTAAAATTGTTGAATTTTACCTTAGGCTTATTTTGTTTAGGTCCTCTGTATCTAAGACCAGCGTTTCTCCCATAAGTATTATAAGCCGCGACTCTGGAAATTCGAAAGCTAGGGGGAAACTTGGCCGGATCATGTTCTCTTCCAGTTCCAGGCGTCGAACTGCCACTAACCAGACCTGATCTGTTTCTTATACTTGGTAAGGGAGACATCCTGAGATCTTGAAGCTCTATTATATCTGCTTCTGTTGAACCAGGAAAAGGAGAATTTGCTTTGCTTCCTACAAAATTTTTTTTCTTACACTTTTTGTTTTCTTTCTTTTAATCTTTTATACATATTAACGTGCATTGTTTCAATTATTTTAAAAAAAATATAAATTCGTTTTCCATATAATTCAAAATATAATGTTTTGTTCCGCAAAGAAAAACACATTTTATATTATGATTATATTATGAAATGAAACATCATAAAGCATGTTATCATCTTTATCTACCGAGAAAAAGAATATATTTGGAGAATTGTCTATTAAATGAAATCAATATATTTTCATTACAAACGTTCAAATGTAATTTTTTTCATAACAAGATGATTAAATAGATTATTTCTTATGACAAAAACAAAACTATTATTCGTGAGAACAGATGAAATTAAAATTTTTTACAATTATTAGATTTCTTCAAAGATTTGTCCTTAGATAAAATATATAATACTTTTTTTGGATAGTTGAAATATCTTTATATATATGAAAAACTTTTATTTTATATATAGAAAATTTGAATAATATCAACAATTATCAGAATTTTTATATCTTTAAAATGCAAGCGCAAATTATTATTTATATTTTATAATAGTAATTCAGTTATTATTTCTTAAAATGCATATTGAAAAGATAAAAATTATTTGTTATTTATATTATATATTACTTGATTGTAGCATTTTAATAAATACTTGTTATATATATACGAAAGACATTGAATTGGCTAAAATATCTTTTTGATTTTTTCTTTTTTAAGTATAGATTTTTACAAATAATTTCCAATATTTAATTTAGATATTTTATACATATCTTCAATAACTCTCAATTCATTAAATTATTATTCCATTTGATAAAAAAAATCTTACCGGATTTCGAAATCATTTTTTTATCATCAGATTCTTTCTTTTTTGACTTCTTTTTAGCTCTGGCACCCCAATAAGTATAATTGACCGCTGCATATTCCAACAGAGCGGCGAATACAAAAACAAAACACATTACTAAGTAAATGTCGATAGCTTTCACATAGCTGATACGTGGCAGTGAGCTACGGACACCTGTTGAAATTGTGGTCATTGTAAGGACTGTTGTTATACCTACAAAGAGAAAAAAATCATACAATAATTCAATGAATTATATACACTTATTATTCAATTTTAATTTATTACAGGATTTATTAAAGGAAAAAATTTTAAAAAATATGTTTAAATATTATCTTATTAATTGTGATTCACATTAATAAATATTATATATAATTCCATATAGATCGATATCTAATAATTATTAAATTTAAAATTTAATTTTTTTTAAAATAAAGATATTGTTTGTT